TATCTTCAGGACTGAAGAAGGGATGACCCAGTCACAACTGACTCAACTGTTACCCACTGGTCATATTTTGATGGCCATCCGATGTAGTGTACCTTCTGGAGAGTTCTTCCATCTTCAGTTTTTGTTTCTAACACTTTGACATCGAAGAACCTTTTAGGATTCCATTCAACAGAAGTCTTGGGATCCACTGGAATTGGTGCTCCTAAGTTCAAGTTCCTATAATTCACCTCATTCCCTCCATCCCTTATTCTTAGTTTGGGGGGCATTCTGTCTACAAATAAGGCAAACATATAGGAAATACAGTGGGAGATAAATGGATCCACGCATGTATGTTATAAACTTTTCCTGTTACACACAGATATATAACAGATAATCGTGTCACAATGTTCATCACAAACAAATCAAAATATTTTTTAGAAATAGTGGCATTCCTAAAACCAGTGTTTAAAGCTAAGCCCTGAATACTTACAGTTAGTGATAGATCCAGTGATGGATAAAGACTAAAATGATGATGATTAGTGTGGTCACAAATATCCCTAGGGCAATATGAAGGACCACTTTTGACCACTCCATTTGAGTGGATTCTAAAGATAAAAAATATATACAATTATGAACATTTAGACATTACCACTAAAGCTATGCTTCACTGTCAATTATTTTTCATAATCCTCACTTTACAACATAACAGTGGGGACAGGACAGTGTGGCCATAATGATTTATGATGATAAGAATTGAATTGACCTGAAATTGTTTGATATTTATTACTGAATAAAAATATAAGAGGTAAACATGTACATAATCCCTACGAACAGACATAATTCACGCGCCTAGCAACTACTATGTAGCAAACTTTATGAAACAGTGTCCGTAACTTTTAAATATCTGTACATAATCCGTTTTAAGGATATGTATGCTATAAATATGTATGCTTGTATGCGAGTAAAATGTTCTTTGAAGTTGTCTCCCTTATATGTATGTCAACAGGGTCATCATGGCGGCAATGTCCGCATTATTGTTCAGGTTCAGCATGTTTTGGGTACAATACAAGTGCTGTAATTTAATGAGATTAAATTGTAAAATAAAGACACTTTGTATGTCTGTGCACCTGCGTGCGTGTTATGAATGAATGGTGTGAATATTTTGAATACTTGTTTGAGTGAATGCTATCTTACGCATATATGCAAAAGTGGACGTTATGGCTTTATATCTGTGATTAATGTTATGGATGTCTGTTTCGAATCGCGTAAGATGTAATATTCATGAACTGTTTTAGTTAATATGGGCATAGATCTAGGCCTATCCTTTTATATAGCTACGTGTAATGTTAATATCAGCTGTTATAAACAGTTGTCGTTATGCCACGGACATTACATACGGTATATATCATATTATTTATGCTAAATTGTTGTTGTTTTTAAGCATAAGTTAAAAACTATAACAATATTGAATCAATACAGCTATAAAAATGTTGGCAAGCAATCTCTCTGAGTTATCTCCCTTAATCAAAGCTGTCACCCCTATGTACTCAAAAGAAACGTCCAGAACGATCGTGCTCCGAGGGTCGCCTGAAGTTTTAAAAGACCCCCTCAGGCGCAAATAATTCAACAATGGCATTGAAAGTGTGCAGGTTGTGCTGTCTATTGCAAACTTAACATACTAAAATGTGAAATACTTACCATATAGCCGTGAATAGAGTTTATTCCCTTGTAATATACACAGAACGTTGCTGCTCTGACCCACGCTGTCGACGTCGAGAGGAAGTAAATCGAAAACGAGGCTTCATGAAATTTCTATACATGGTCTCGACTTAATGGCTAGAGTAACAAATATTTGAATTACGGCGCCAATTCTTAACCAATCTCGATGCATCTTGCAAGTGTTGTTTGGAGATATGTTTGGCGGGCCTTTCAGCTGTAACCACTTTTATTGCATGCAGCGGGAAGAATTTTAAGGGTGCTTTATAAAAGGGCATTTTATTATTGAAACAATGCAGATTTCTTACTCAACAAACCATCATAAAGTACGACAACAACAGCTAAATATTTCTAAAATTGATTTGACACACTTGTTTAGAGAGGTTATTAGATTGTGTTTTCAGTGTAACCGGTTCAAATGGAGTGTTCCATATAGTCACTCGTGTTGAGGAATACAACGTCCTATATTACATGGAGGAAGTTAGATTTATGTATGCTAATAAGAATTATGTTTCGGTATGACATGAGAACCCCGATCAGACACAGAATACTGACTCCGAGCCGACCAGTCCTTGTTTTAGCCCCTAAATGCCGAGCCAGACAGGGAAACAACAAGTACCATATTTTAACGTCTATTGGTATGACGCACCCGGGGATCGAGCCCCGGACCTTCCGATCTCCGGGCGGACGCTCTACCACAGGACCATGGATGCGGTCGACGCTGGCAATGAATGTCGATCACGCGCAGATCGTGTAGACTAACTTAGACGTATAAATGAGTGTTGTTTTACGCCGCGTTTAGCAATATCCCAGCAATATCACAGGGGATGACACAAGAAATGGGCTTCACACATTTCACCCACATGGGGATCGAAACCGGGCCTTAGGCGAACGCTTTAACCACTAGGCTGTCCCACCGCCCATCTACATGGACCGTCAGTTCTAAATCCGTATAGTCCAAGGAACATGGCATGTCACATTACCAGAGGCAATGTGTGACCATGTTGTGTGTACCAGTAGTTCGAAAAGCTTTTTGAAAAGAGTGCTGTAAGTCAAAAGTATGCAGTGTGAATTTAGTGGAGGATAAACTGAGAAAAAGCTTAGTAGTTACTTAATATAAAAGATATTTTTATATGTATAACTACTTGAGCCTGCCACATGATGTAACCAAGATCTATAGACTAATGCGTTCCTGGGGGAGTACCTGACTTCACCTCAGCAAGCCAACACCACATTTGTTTGTTTTATTCCAATCGGTAAGGGCGGTGGGGTAGCCTAGTGGTTAAAGCGTTTGCTCGTGTCGGAGCCCAAGTTTCGATTCCGCAAACTGTACAAAATGTGTGTAGATCCCAGACACAAACTTAAACTCGTTCCTTGTCCCATATTTTCACATGTTTAGATCTTCACATTTTTAGGATTGTGTTCAACAGCTGAACGTGTTTAGGGTCTAAATGCGTACACTCCCCTTGCAATTCATTGTAGGTACATTGTAATTTAAAAAGGGATGCTTTATATGTTTTTATTAACGTTTAATGGGATCTGAAGTGGGTGTATGTAGGGGGATTGAGGGATAAAAGCTATTTTAGCAGTATACATGGATTAATTGGAGGGTGGGCGGGTAGTGGTAGCTAAAAAGGTTAAGTGTCTATCGTGGTAATCAGATATACTGTCATTGTCAGCTTCTTGTATGAGAGAAATACCACTGGTCATACAGCAACAACACATTCGTGAACACATAGAAGTTTAAACCTCGGCGGGTATAGGAACCTGCAACCTCTGAAAGTGTAGTCCTTGGCGCTACCCACTGAGCCACGGAGACTGTTGGCGTCACAAGTGTCAATCTTTCAAGTCACCATTTACCGAGTTTGGTTAAGTTGTATGATTTTAAGTAATATTCTACCAAGTTCGGCGTAAGTCATTTTATGCAAGTGCCTGTGAATCTGATTTGCACATCTAATTTCAATATATATGAAACATCGTATTCCTGTTTGACTTATTGTCAAATGATACTGAAACAGTTTTAAATTCTAAACGTGTTAAAACATGTTTTAACTTTAAAATGTTTAAACGTGTTTAAATTCTAAACATGTTCAAACATTAAAAGTGTAAAATCTAAACATGTTCAAACATGTTTTAACGTCTTTTAATTCTGAATATGTTTAAAATCTAAACATGTGTTATAGCGTTTAAATTCTGAATATGTTATGATTATGGGGGTGTAGTGTTTAGGTGGTGTTTAGGCTGCGAGACTACAGCTCATTTCATGTGTTTAGACCTAAATGCGTTAAGATACAACACACCAAATGTGTATTAAGGTTTAGGATTTAAACACATTATTAAGCATGTTTAGATCTAAACATGTCTTGTCTGTGTTTACATTCTAAACACCTGTCTTACAATGAGTGAGTGAGTGAGTTAATATTTAACGTCACATCTTTCTTACAATGCATATGGATACAATGAGGGCAGCCCATTTCTCGTGTCTGCTGCTTAAACCCCTCTCAAAGTGTTTTTTGTGATTCATATACACATTTCAGTACTATTTGATGTGTGGTCAGGTTCGCCGACGTGGTTGATTGCGTGCCATCGTTCCCCGACTGTATGTGGGACGTTGCTCATGATATCAATCACTGGTTTGTCCGATCCAGACTCGCCGTCATAAAACTGAAATATTGTTGAGTGAGTGCGGCGTTAAACATCAAACAAACATCACGCAAAAGCAACTACGACATTCATAAATAAAGCGACAAAACCCTTTCCATATCTATGAACAATTCCGACAATATCATGAGCATGTGTTTATGAAACACTAGCAAATAGTAATGATACCAGGTGTTCGCGAATAGGTGAGCGTATCCTGCCCCACCGGTGGCACCAGTCACAACACATGCAAAGGCAAGTCAATTGAAAATATATGGGAACATATGGTACAAGTCAAAATAGGGAATTGCATCGGACATCATTTTTGTCAAATTTGAACATATATAACATATAAACCAACAGGGGGCACGGGTGGCCCAGTTGCCTAAAGCGCCGCGATTCGATGTGCAGAGTTGCATCCCTTGGACAAGCCATAAACCTATGATTGTGGGTTCGAATCCCGAATCAAGGTTTGTCAGCACCATATCCGTGCTCGTGGGTTTCACCGAAGTGGTAAACGTCTGAGACCTGCATCACTTCGGGCTTTCCTCCAACATTAAGCTGACACGCCGTGATATAACTAGAATACTGTTAAAAGCGGCGTTAAACCCAACTCACCCACTCACCCACTCACTATAAACCAACATATCCACGTTTTATTGCAGCTGGAGATCAACATCCCCCTGTCTCTGGACGCGGACCTCTGGCTCCGGACAATAGAACAGTTCCTCCTCCTCATGCTCATCGTTGGGCGATGGATGTTGCCCAAGGGCGCCCTGTCACATGACCAGCTGTCTCAACTCTTATTGGTCTACGTGGGTACGGCAGCTGATATAGTCGAGTTTTACGAGGCCTTCAACGAGGAGGAGGTAAGTTACACATTGACTTTCCAGGATTGACGAACCTTGCGTCAGTGCAAATTCGTTACATGTTAAAAAAACGTTCTGATGCCAACGAGTTTCTCATGCTTTCGTATAATGCTTTGGACGATTTGACTCCAATTTTATCGAGGACAGCTGTTTTCCAGAATTTAAATCCTTGCAGATTGTTAATATATTAAAACGTTGAACATATTTACTTTGTAGAAAATATAAGGGTCCATTTCCTGAGAAAATAATTAATCCGAATGATCCGTCTTGGACCTTTATGGCCTTGTACTTGACCTTCGCGTTTCCTGCTTCCGGGCAACATACGTGGGAGAATAGTCAATACGTCTCTTTGGTAACAATGAGAGAATATTATTTCACGCCGCAGTCAGCAATATTCCAGCTCTATAACGGCAACCTGTTAATAATCGAGAATGGAGTGATTGAGAGAGAGAGAGGTTTTCGCCGCTTTTAGCAATATTCCAGCAACATCAAGGAGGACACCAGAAAGAGGATTTATACATTGTAACCATGTGGGCAATCGAACCCGGGTCTTCGGCGTGAAGAGCGAACGCTTTAACCACAATGCTACCCTACCGCCCGAATCGAGTATGGAGTATCAGACAAATCAATAGTGGGTATTATAAACAGCGTCCCACTTAGTCGGAGTATGAGGACACCCAATCAACCATGTGACCGGGTCTGACCACCCTTATACTAAATTGGGTCTTGCGACAAACATGGATTACTGGGCTAAATTCTATCCAGAAATCACCAATGGGTATGTCTGGCAACAAACCATCACTGCCAGTGGTCCAGTGGTCCAGTGGTCCTATGACCTAATTGAAATCTTGTTATGATTTTGAGGTGAGGTGAAATGGGGTTTAACGTCGCGTTCAAGATTTTTACACTTATACAGCGACGTGCATGCACGTGTGTGAGTGGCTGCTTGTACTAGTCCGGACTAATGCGGATTTTATAGTGCCAGCCCAATGAGATACCATGCCGCAGTTTCACATGACTGCGCCATTCAGACACAGTATACTGACTCCGTGTTTTAGCCCCTTAATGCCGAACGCCAGGCAGGGTAACAACAAGTACCATCGACTCTATCCACCAGGCCACGGAGGCTGTCTTCTCGTACGACAAATGAAGCATACTACCTTATTTTACCATAAGTACCATATTTTATCATCTTTTGGTATGACGCGGCCGGGAATTGAACCCCGGACCATCCGCTCTTCGGGCGGACGCTCTACCACTAGACCATGGAGGCGGTTTGTCATTTTATCAACTTATATTGATGACTAATGAGTCTATGCATAGTCCAATCAAAATCGCGTAACGAAATCCACTTTCGATTCGTAAACTGCCGTACAGATTTCGGTCGATTGCAGGATTTGCAAAGCATGTGCAGTTAACATGCCGTCAACAGACATTTTCCAAATCTTTTCATGTCAAGGTGCTCACGTGATATGATACACTTAGCAAAGTAAGACCCTTTTCTTACAATACAGATCTTGATTAACGATCACATCGTCTTCACTGGCGCCGCCATTTTGTTTGAAGAAAATGCAAGTGATATGAGATTTGCAATCGTATTGGTCAATAGGAGGGACATAGAAGGGACTTAACTCGTAATAGCCACTGGTGGCGATACGATTGAGCCCAGAAATTCCAGCGTAGTTCGGTAAGGGTTGACATTGGCCTATCGGGGACACAACTCATCGAATTGCGGTCACCTGTATCATTGGGCCCACTTGCTCCCTTCACAGTACTGTATAGGTATGCTTAAGTACAGTGGGCGCTATGTTCTTAACAAACCTCGAGCGGTATAGGTAGGCAATGACAGATATATATATCACTCAGTAAAGAACGTTGGATGATGTTGATGGTAGATCTGTTTGTTGTTGCCTGCATCCAGTTAAGTGATTCTGCACGTGCGAAAAGCTTCTTTTGTCATATTAATTATCTTAGACGCGGTCTTAAAACAGGAAGTGACGTCAAAGTATATCTTAACGAGGCTGCAATCAGTGCTTTATTGCAGTTCGGTAGGGTTTGTCAGAGGAGTGTCATTCAATGAAACGATAACGTTCTCCCAACTTAATTATTCCAGTCCCAGAGGAAAACATAATCTTCAAAGCATCACAGCGTAATTCGAAAAACCTTGATCAATTAAATAAATATTATTAATATGATTTGAAGTTTTGGATTATGACGTAGTTTCCTGGTACTTTTTCACACAAACACATGTATCATGTTTTCTGATCAAAGCGACAGTAAGTTTCGGATCGTTGGGACTGTGTGGTGATACTGGTCAGGATTGTCGTCCCACACGTGCAAGGGACTTTGTAGGCAACATTAAGCTTCGCTAGTCTTATGTAACTACAAGCTGTCAGCTCTATCAGGTGAACAGTAGGATGTTTACTGGAGACAAATTAACAAATTAAATACCCTCCTTGCTATAAGTGGTGTAGTTTCCTGACGATATAAACACGTAAAATGTTTCTAAGAACCCATTAGTCGCTATCAGTATTTATATATATAAAAGTTTTTAAAATACTACAATTTAAACCTGTTGATAATCTATCTTAAGAACTCACGCGCCCAACCTTTTCTCTTTTTTTCCCTGCCTTCTTCACATTTTGAGGAAATACTAGTAAATAAATATATACTTGAACTATTTATTTTTAGCTGTTGTTAGACCTAGCGAACTGAATTTGTAGGCCAACCCCCTCCACCCGATTGCTTGATGGTGGCTAAAATGATACAAACATGAAATGGGTATTCGATGGTGATGCGGGAATCAGAGTTGTGTTTTGAACCTGAAGTTTGCAGTGTTCCGGCGACAGTTTTTAGCCAAGTAACGTTTTGACAACGTTTGTAATTAATTGGTCAAATCCAATATTCAAGCCCATGGAAAGTGTACGCTCTTTTGCCCGGTAGTTTATATTGTTGCATCAGACCTATAACTCTTGACTTTGGACCAGACAAGCAGTTGTTAATAGCACAAGTACTGATGCTGGAGAATCCTGGGAAAGAAAGTAGGGTACAGTTTTTTAATTGTTAAATGTTTTTGACGTTTCCGCTTACTGAAATGTTCAAACAATTTTATTTCCAGGTAAAACACAACCGACTGCTATGCTACATAATTCTGGGAATATGGTCCGCAAGTCTCATCCAATTCACGTTAGTTCTCACAGCCACGAGAGCTCGGCGAGACCAGTCCGGGGTTCCCACCCAGTACAACAAGGAGGAAGAAGGTGGATGCTGCAATCCGGAGATCTACGGAATCATGATTTCCATTGCCTTACAGGATCTTCCCTTCCTCGTTGTGCGCATGCTCCTCATCTTCAGATACGGTGTCGTGAGCTACACTAATATGTTTTTCACCTCCAAGAACTCCTTGGTCATCGTGTTGTTGATTTATCGCCTGGTGGTGGTCCAGATGGAGGCGGTCAAGTCGGACAAGACCACCTCTCCCGCCACGCGGCAGTCACGTGTTCATGACATGCCAATCTACGATGGTAAGGCCAGCCTTATCTCCCCTGATCGAGCCCCGAACGTGTATGCCTCAAATCCGAGAAGACCGCCTCAGTTTCGACAACAGGAAAATTCCAAAGTTTGACGTGTTTATGTGTCTTCTGAAACTTTAAACACTCGGTGGATATCATATTATTGTTCTTATTCAAACTGATGACAATATCCATGCCTGATTATGCGACTACATGTGATAGAAGCCCTGAACATATAATTTCATAATCTGAGACTCGTATTGAACAGATCGTACCAGTTGTATCCGGTCTCATCGGTATTGATTGGAAAATGTGTGTTCTATATTTTTCATGGAGTATTTAAATCAATAGGTTTACCTATGACATACTTTGTTACCCATTTGGTAAAATACTAAGAACTGGTGTTTAGAAATACGATTTTAGATGCAGTGTTGAGTTCTTGTCAACGGCCATGTGTACCCAGCTTACAGACCTATCATTTTCTGGTGTGTGGGGTGGGGTGGGGTGGGGTGGGGTGGGGTGGGCTATATACAGGATATGTTCTTGGTCACTGCTTCAAGACGGACATCTATTTCCGTGAAAGGAGAAACAAATTACAACACATGTATTTGTCTGATGAACAATGTATTTCTGGAACAAATTATTTTTTTTTAAAACTCCTAGTAGTCAACCCCCACCCTACCCCCAGAATATGAAATGGTCTGTCCCAGTGACGCCTTACACATTTCAGTCTTTTCACTTTGGCATTAGATTTCCTACCCTATTAACCATTATGCAACCACCTGAAAACTGTGTGGTTACAGTGTCACACTTTTAAAATTATTGAGCTCTGTAGAGTACCGGAACTGGGAGTATGTGAATGTTGTTTTACCCGTGTTGGCAATATTACAGCCTTATCACGGATAAATAATCTGGTATGAGGACGTATCCAAGGTATAAGGGCACGATTACACATCAGGTCACAGTGACCACCTGATCCTCATTGTAACCGGTTATTTTGACAGGCAACGTGTACTGGGATCTCTTTTTTGCCCCAGAATTAACCCAGGGAGACAGGCATCGTGTACAGGGATCTCTTTGGCCCTAGAATTACCCCAGGGAGACAGGCATGGTGTACAGGGATCTCTTTGACCCTAGAATTACCACAGGGAGACAGGCATGGTGTACTGGGATCATTTTGGCCCCAGAATTACCCCAGGGAGACAGGCATCGTGTACAGGGATCTCTTTGGCCCTAGAATTACCCCAGGGAGACAGGCATGGTGTACAGGGATCTCTTTGACCCTAGAATTACCACAGGGAGACAAGCATGGTGTACAGGGATCTCTTTGGCCCCAGAATTACCCCAGGGAGACAGGCATGGTGTACAGGGATCTCTTTGGCCCTAGAATTACTCCAGGGAGACAGGCATGGTGTACAGGGATCTCTTTGGCCCTAGAATTACCACAGGGAGACAGGCATGGTGTACAGGGATCTCTTTGGCCCTAGAATTACCACAGGGAGACAGGCATCGTGTACAGGGATCTATTGGGCCCCAGAATTACGCCAGGGAGACAGGCATGGGTTGCAGGGATGTATTGGGCCCTATAATTCCCCCAGGGAGACAGGCATGGGTTGCAGGGATCTATTGGGCCCTATAATTCCCCCAGGGAGACAGGCATGGGTTGCAGGGATCTATTGGGCCCTAGAATTCCCACATGGAGACAAGCATGGTGTACAGGGATCATTTTGGCCCCAGAATTACCCCAGAGAGACAGACATAGTGCGCAGGGATGTATTGGGCCCTAGCATTCCCCCAGGGAGACAGACATGGTGCCCAGGGATTTATTGGGTCCAAAAATTCCCACAGGGAGACAGGCATCGTGTACTGGGATCTATTGGGCCCCAGAATTACCACAGGTAGACAGGCATAGGTTGCAGGGATCTATTGGGCCCTAGAATTCCCACGGGGAGACAGGCATGGTGTACAGGGATCTCTTTGGCTCCAGAATTCCCACAGGGAGATAGGTATGGGTTGCAGAGATCTCTTTGACCCTAGAATTCCCCCCAGGGAGACAGACATGGTGCCCAGGGATTTATTGGGTCCAAAAATTCCCACAGGGAGACAGGCATCGTGTACTGGGATCTATTGGGCCCCAGAATTACCACAGGTAGACAGGCATGGGTTGCAGGGATGTATTGGGCCCTAGAATTCCCACAGGGAGACAGGCATCGTGTACAGGGATCTATTGGGCCCCAGAATTCCCACGGGGAGACAGGCATGATGTACAGGGATCTCTTCGACCCTAGAATTCCCCCCAGGGAGACAGGCATGGGTTGCAGGGATCTCTTTGGCCCCAGAATTACTCCAGGGAGACAGGCATGGTGTACAGGGATCTCTTTGGCCCTAGAATTACCCCCAGGGAGACAGGCATGGTGTACAGGGATCTCTTTGACCCTAGAAATACTCCAGGGAGACAGGCATGGTGTACAGGGATCTCTTTGGCCCCAGAATTACCACAGGGAGACAGGCATGGTGTACAGGGATCTCTTTGGCCCCAGAATTACCACAGGGAGACAAGCATGGTGTACAGGCATCTATTGGACCCCAGAATTACCCCAGAGAGACAGGCATGGGTTGCAGGGAACTGTTGGGCCCTAGAATTTCCACAGGGAGACAAGCATGGGTTGCAAGGATCTCTTAGGCCCCAGAATTCCTACAGGGAGACAAGCATTGTGTACAAGGATTTGTTGGGCCCCGAAATTCCCTCTGTACAATAAGCCGACTTCATATTGTTAAATGATCCCTTGCGTCACCATCTTGCGGATTGGCTAATAAATACTATTTTTTTTCTAAAAGGGGGACTTTGCTCCGTAGCATAAGGAGACGCATCACTGTCTCGTCTAAGGAGGGAGAAACTGATTTACATAGTTGATAGACATCATACATGTGTTGTTACCGGGCAAAGTGCTGTGAGACTTGAATCTAACTTTCTAGGCCTGACCGAGCTCACTCCCCATCAAGCAGCCGTTGTCTGGTAGTTGGACGTAACCACTGCATGCATAGGAGCTTTCAGTAACACTCATCACAGCGTATTGTACGAGTTTTCTCTGAAGGAAGCACCTTATACCGAAACCCACCTCATTATTATGACGGAGGCGCCTTTACATTTTTTGTACAGAACCATTTTTCCATTTTCGTCGATATTCCTATAGAACATGCCTTTACATGTTGATATGCCTTCCGATGTCTTTAAGATCCTGTTGTACAAACGCCATATTTCAGCGATTAGTTCTTCATCGTGCGCGTAATTCTTTTTGAAGCCAGCTCGATCACTTCTGTTTATCCTCTGAACTATTTAGAGCTTGATACTCATAGATGTGCATTCATGGTCATGCCTTATCTGAAGGTCACGTGATTTTTGTGACGTGTCAATCTCAGCTCAGATTTGGACGAGGGTCATTACAAGTTTCTGCACACGTACTTTGGCAAGTCCCAGATTATCAGACATAAATCAGATGAATTGGAACTACGATCGCTCTATTTTTGATGTGTGTCTCAATTCAATAGCAACACTCTCAGAAAAGAATATTCAATTGGCATAAATGTATTGTAATTTTCTTTGTATATTCTTTTTGAACTGACAAACATGTTTGTGTTTTGTTATTGGGGCATCATTTGTTTTGAAGAATTTGAAGAAGGTAAGATTTTGGGATAGATCCTTGATGCCAATGCAAATACAGTGAAACCCCGTTAATCCGAACGGCCCTATTAAGTGGTAAACTGTGATTGACAAATGTCCGGATTAACGAATCATAATATGTGAGTATGTCCCTTTAAAATATTCACGTCAACCCTAGTAGTCACCCAGAAAGAGGGGTTTCCGGATAAATAGGGTCGGGTCTACCGAGATTTTACAGTATCTCATCAACGCATTTGTTCTTTTCTTTCAGTTTATTGTGTGTAACCATGCTTACCCAAATACGGTAAATGCTGTCAAATGTATGTTTTCTATTTTGTTTTATTTTTACTTTTGAAGCTTGATCTAAATTTCGCGTTACTCCTTACGTTGCGATGCATAATTTATAAAGACGACCATGTATAACATTATTTGAACTTCTCAAAATGAAAAATGCTAAATATCTTAAAAGCTTTAAATTTCAGGTTGACATGTTAATTTACGTTGTGTCATCATTTAACAGTATCTTGTATAGTATTCAATTACTTGACACTGTTAATTAAACACCTTGTACATGTCATCGCTTGTCGGACAACCGCTACATTTAAATCCATCGGCCCATTATATCACATTTGCTTAAATAATTCAGCATTGAAAGATTCCTTTCAGATATCGTAAAGGTTCAATAAATAGCATATGTTCTTTGTTATGTGTCTTGTCATGTTTTTGTCACACGTGTGACTGTGATTCTGTTGGAGATATCTACTGTACAAGTCAATGCACTGGTAGTCTAGTGTAGGGGCATATCCAAAACCACGAGATCTGACTTCAGGGAAAACTTGTGGCCGTATGTGACATGACAATGATCAGTTTTCAATGCCTTTGTACAACGACATGTGACTATCGATGTCCAAAATTTTGTATTTGTATCTAGGATATTAATTTAAATTTATCGACTCTATTAGGTATAATAAATTTACTAAAAATCTACCTGTGCGTTCCTTTTTTGGAAGCGTGTCACTACAAAATCAAAATCAAATGGAGCCCAGAACATTCCATAATTCAGATCTGAAGCAATCTAGACTTGCCAAACCATTCTAGACTTGAGTTGGACTCGTTTAGTAACTTATTCTCCAGGGTCTGGACGACAGACTATCCATAGTGTATAATGTGTGAAACCCACGTGGTGTCCCGACGTGATATTGCTGGTTGTTACTGACGGTGGCCCAGGGGATCACTGACCAATCACATTTTGTTATCTCCGGCATTGTTTTTACACAAAAAATATCAACCACAGGCTTGAGGCCCCTTCATGGATCAGGGAGTGTCTGTATTGTGAGTGAGTGAGTGAGTGAGTGAGTGAGTGAGTCCAATCTACGCCTCTTTTACCGGTATTTCGGTCGTAACGGTTGGTTTAACGTTGTTTAACGCCGCACTCAGCACTCAGCACTCAGCAAAATTCCAGCTATATGACGGCGGTCTGTAAATAATCGAATCTGGACCAGACAATCCAGTGATTGACATCATGAGCATCGATCCACGCAATTGACATACGATGACATGCATCAGCCGAGTCAGCGGCCCTGACCACCCGATCCCGTTAGTCGTCTCTTACGAGAAGCATAGTCGCCTTTTACAGCATGCATGGGTTGATGAAGACCTATTCTACGCCGGATCTTCACGGGTCGGTTTAGCTTCATGTCGAAGGCATGTCCGAAGTCGTAGACGTTTACCACTTTGGCAAAATATACGAGAATCGAGAAGACCACGCCCACCACGCCATAACAACGTACAGTTTGGGCATGTTTTGTCTGGATGTTCATATGTTT